ATTGTGATGATTAGGGAACATAAAGATGATTGAATTGAAGAACATCTGCCCCCTCACAATGCCACCAGGGAATATGTCCAGGAGGTCAGTGTCATTTCTACCACCAGGCAGCAATGTATTCCACATTCATCGCACTCATTCCGGGATTTAATGTCTAATTCGGTACACTATGTACACAAGACACCAGCCAACAGGCGTTACAATTATCATCTCAGAATGGTGATAATGTCCCTAGGAAGTAGATGCCAGGATGACCTCTATAGTGCATGGGGACACTCTGTGAAAGACCTGAGGCATGGTGTCTTGTCTAGGTTTACGTAGGAAGTCAGGAGGAGGATTTGGGTCTAAATCCAGATCTTTCTCCTCAGAGCTGTAACCTGTCAGCACTGCTGGTTTTTCTTAGACTTGGGGAAGCCTGGCCTCCTACCATGGATCTCTCACTTGGGTGAAGCTGTTCTCTTCATTGTGAAGGACACTGGAGAGTCATTTCATGGGCTTCCAAGGTATCCACAGCAGGAATCTCTGGGGGATACCATAGGACACAGGTTCACACAGACATCATAAAAGGAGCTGGTGAGTGCCTTTAATCACCAATTTACTAGGCTGTGACCATGATGCAATGACCAGAATAAATGTAGCCCCTATTCTCTTGTGATTCCATGTTATCCAGGACACAAGTCCCTCTAAAGAACAGATCAGGTACTACCCACTTTACTGTGAATGTGCCTAACTTCCTGGCCTCTGTATATATGAACACATAATAGGGGAAGAGGTGTCCCCAGAAGGCACACATAATGGAATGGTGCATCACTATATGAACTGAAGAGGAAGGAATGGCAGGCAGAACACACTCCCTCTGACCACTCACTTCACAGATATTTATAGTGCACCAAACCTGTAGAGTAAGCACAAGTAGAGTAACACTGCAGACACCATTCTCTTTCTCACAGAGACAGCCCCACAAGGATGGGAAAGGAAGATGGATTTCATGCTTTCCTAAAGAGCGAAGGACAGGTGGTCGCAGCAATTTTAGGGACTACTATCAGCAGGGGAAGGCTTCCTCAGCCAGCAATGTCCCATCCAAGGCAGAGAGAAGGCTAGGCTGGGCTCTCTGCAACTGGAGCAGGAGGCTGGTGTCCAATTCTACAAGATGTCCCAGCTGAATTGGACCAACCTGAGCTCACTGAAACTAAGCACTGTCTTCAGAAGATTTTGGCTTTGGCCTGTGGGCCTCTGAGGAGTGCATGGGACACTTGACAAGGAGAAAGACTACCAGTCTTGGGACATCCTGCAACCCTGAGGCATGCAGAAATGAGTTGGTCAAAGCTGAATGAGAAACGTTGCTGAGGTGGATTTGTGCACAGAGTTATCTGTGACAGGCACTGGGAAGTTCTGGGGCCTGCAAGTAGCAAGGACACTTGGTGATTGTTCTCCTTCTGCTGATGCAGGGCTGGTACTGACTAACCTCAAGTCCCAATTGCAGAGCTTTGGTCATGTACACCTCCAGTGACCTCACCAGCTCTGGGATCAAAGTGAAAATTAGGGTCAGGTACCCTGTCTTAAGGAATTCCATAACTGGCACTTTTACTCACACCATGACAGGTGTCTTGAACTCCACTTAGGGGCAAGTCCTGCAAAGCACCTGCTTTTCCCTTCCCATCCTCTTGAAATCCCTCCCCTTGTATTTCTTTCAGTTTTGATTTTTATTCCTATGTCTATAATTATTCTCAACATCAAATTCTAAGGTAATTTTAATTAAAAGTTAAGATATCATGCATGTCAACATATTCAATTCAGTAGCACTTCATCACATCACTAATTTGTACAATTTCCATATCCATAGAGTTCCAGGACTCTTCTCAGTTTGGGACACTTTCATATCCTTGTACTCTCTTGCTACTTGCCACCCACTCTGACTTTTTCACCCTGTGATTTAGTACTCTGGGTCTTTAATATTCGTGCATCAGATTATGTTTGGCCAAATCTTCCTAGAGGAGACTGGCTGCTATTGCTCTTCAATAGAAGACAAAATCCCAGGTAGACCAAAGCTTACAGGTAAAATGTAAAGACTATTGTGTATCTACTCATCTTTCCATGTTGGAAAAGCTTTCGCATGATTTCAGTGATACAAGGGAGAGAGAAAGATCTGATTCCTTACATTTGAAAAACAGAAACAAGAATAATGTAGAATCCACAATAAGAAATCTTTGCTTACAAGCAGCAGGCAGATAAATAGTTTGTATTAGAAGTGACAAAGAGGTGTCATGAGTCCATTCTGTGAGAGATGAAAAATTCTTGTAATTCAAAAGAGAATCACCACATGTAAACAAATGTAGAAAATGCTGAGCTTCCCAAAGCTGATTCATGCAAGCACACATACATGACACGTGCTGTGTCCCCATCTGATGGCGGGTTTTAAGGCAAGTGCTGAACATCACTGGGGAGAACATGGTGTGCAGAGAAGAGCCCTGTCCAGTAGCTCCCATCACAGCTCTATACAGGTGTCCCCGGACCTTGCAGTGCTCACAATAGAGATTTATCCCACACAGAGATCCGCATAACTTTTCAAGCTTTCTGTTCAAGGCTGTGGTTCACTGCACTGTTTGAAGCAGGAGGAAACTGGGAGCCTTGCTACACTCCACATAGAGAGTTCAAGGCATCAGAGTGGGTCACGAGAACCAGGGAAAGCTGCAGGGATGCTGAGCTCAGTCTCTCTGGGCCCACAGGGAAAGAGGAAAAGGAATCTGATCATGAAGTAATACACTGATGAGAGAAGGATGTGTGCATGGAGGATCTTGGTTTTGAAAATGAAATGTCTCTGACATCAATGTGTGTCCACGTACAGACATGTAAGTATCTATGCCCAAGAATTGTGTCTCAGCAGTGTACTTACTTATGCAAACCCTGATTCAAAATAAAAAAGAAATTTAAAAACAGAACAGTTCAGTGCACGGGCCTGCATTCAATTCCCAGAATTGAGTTAAGGAAAAAAAAAAAAAGTTGAGAGCAAGATGAAGGGCTGCAGAAAACCATCACCTGGTCTTTCTGGAGAGCAGTGTGCCCCAAGCAGCTTGAGCCTCCACATCTTTCTTGCACACTTTGATTTTAAAGAATGATCAGTTCCAAGAAGGATGGGGAAAGGAGGATTTTCATCCAAGAATACAAAGTCTCATTAACAATGGAGAAGAAATTTTCAATGATTACTAAACTGCATGGTGACCACAGTTAATAAGGATAGCTTTCAAATCTGTTAAACAATGGGATTTCCACTGTGAAAGTATTTGTAGGTTAGTAAGGTGGTAGCACATTAACTGGATTGATTCTTTCTACAAAGGAGCCATAGATCAAAAGCACATGTTACCCCACAAACATTTGTAATTATTGTGAATTACCAAAGGATGTATCCTATACCTGTACTCCCAGCACTCTGGGAGGGAAAGGAAGGATGACACAAGGTTAAATCCAACCTGGAGAGCAGAGTAAATTATTTAGAGACTGTCTCAAAAAAAAAAAAACCCAACAAGTTTTTAAAGTGCATGGTCATATAGCTCATACAGGAATCCCTGGGATCATTGAACACAGTTTATTAACCACTATTCTGGTATGAGAAAATTTAATCTATTTATAAAAGTGTTTTCATACTTTATTAATATCTACCTGTGCTACATTAAAATAAAAAAGAGGAAAATTGTTTGTTTGTTTGTTTGTTTTATTTTCCTCTAATCAAGGTATTGCTATGTATTGCAGGCTGACCTTGACTCAACAAGTATTTCAGGCTAGCCTTGAACTCCCTGTGATCCTCGTGCCTAACCCTCCTGTGTGCTGGGATTACAGGCATGCACCACCATACCTTGCAAGAAAGTGTTTTTTTTTTTTATTGTAAAGAGGATAAAACCAAATGAAATAAAACAGAATAGAATCAATCAAAACAAAAGGATGAACATGGTACATCAGTTAAAAATAAAATCCAACATTAGTTTATGGCCTCTCAGCTGGTACAGAAAATGACTTAACACCTTGCTGAACTCCAAATTTCTCCAGATAACTGGGCAAATACCTAAATTTTGCAAGGTGTCTATTGTTAATATGTCTTGTCTACGAAGCAATTCATATCAAGTACCGGGGAAAGAACATAGAACTTTGATTTACTATTTCCAATGTCTGGAATTTATCACAAGAAAAAAAGATATATGCTCAATGTAGTTTTTCTAAGAGGAACTAGACTTGGGAACATGGTCAGTAACAGGATAACTAAGTAAAACTCTACCTATGCATGTAATATAAATATTCAACAGTATGCAAATACATAAATGATGTGAGCAGAACTTGGGAGTATGGTTAGAGACAGCCGAATACGGACAAGATGGGTATTCTGCAGCAGGTTCAACAATGTGGGTGAATTATATTTTTTGTGGATTTAAATTTTTAAACTGCTGATCACATTTCCTCATCCCTCAAAGCCCCATGCCACATTCAGACTCCTCACAAAGCTTAAACACCCAAGAGGACCAATATTAAAACAAGTAGAAAGCCCTTATCAATGGAATGGACAGGAGACAAAGCATGTGCAGGTAGAATAATAACTGCTATCTTAGTATAACATCTAGGTCCTCTCTCAGTCTGCAAGGAGGAGCTGCAAGTGGAATAAAATCGTCCTATTGGGGTAAATGCTCGCGGCTCAGCAGGGCCAGGATCACTGACAGCAGAGGCCATGTGAGACCCAGAGCCGCCCCGCCAACAGGTCCCACACCAGGGCTGGGCTCCCAACAGCACCTGGCGGGGGGGGGGGGGGCAAGGATCCCGGGCCACGTGCCAGGCTGGCCATGCGGACCCCGACAGAGAGAAGGGAGGAAAGGAGAGAGAGCCCTGAAGACCTGAGACTAGGTCGCCCCAGTGCCGCGCACGCCGCCTCCCCAGACCCCCGACCAAGGTCACCTGCGCCGCTAAAGTGGGGGCCACCGGGCCGCGCCACCACTCAACACCGGCTGTTGCCCGCCTACCTGGCGCAGACCCAACTCCCAGACCAGCCACAGCCTAGGCCGAGGAAGGAAGGAAGAGTGCTCAGGTCTCCAGAAGGGGTCGCTAGCTGCAAAATGGCCACTCCGTGCATCCCCTGTGAAGCGAGGCCGGGGGCGGGGCGGGACTGGGTGGGATGCGGAGGCCAGTGGCTAGGGACCGTCCCTGGGTGCAGGCCGCCCAGGTTGGGCCTGGGGGAGTGTAATCTTCGCTGGCGGCCAGGGGGTGGGGCCAAGCGATGTGAGGGGCGGGGCCAGAAGCTGGGACCCAGGAGGTGCAGAGCCCTCCAGGAGGCAAGAATGAGGCGGTGGGCGTGGCAGTGGGGTTAGGGTTTCTCTGACCCCTGGGAAGCAGAGGAAGCAGAGGAGTGGACTGAGTCTGAGGCTTGGGATTTATAGATGTCTGGACTCAAATCTTCCCGGGCCTGACACCTTAGGCACACTGCTTCTCTTCTGGGAGCTTCAATTTCCACTACTGTTATTCTCCTATTATTTTGCTTTGAAATATCGCGGGTTTTTTTCCATTCAAAAAAAAACAAACTGTGATGAATGGCAGTACTCATCTCTTGGCACTGTTGTGAAGATCCAATGAAAACCCTGAAGAGTCTTCCCATGGTTCCTACCATATAGCAAGTGCTCAGATGCCATTGTTATTTGTGTTGTTGCCCTTCTTTTATTACAGAGAAATGAGAGCTTTCGGTATCCGTCGTCTGATGTCTTCATAACTTAAAAATATGTGTACATGTTAATATAACACACTAACAAGCATATGTAACACTTACAGGTGTGAGGCCAGGGCCTCTCTGAGGTGCTTTACATCTGTTAATTCTTAGAAGAGTAGGAGTTAGGAATTATCTTCAGTTTCATAGCTGTGTAAGACAAGACACCAACATTTAATACATTTTCCAATGACAAACAAGTGGACAGAATTTTAACCCACTGGGCCTCATACCAACACCTCCATTAACTACCCCATACTTGGCACAGCACTGCTACAGTTCTGCTTTGGATTTTTCACATGAGTGAGACATGAAATTGTTCATGGGAGGTTGTACAGGTAGCTAGAGGCAGTTTGTGTCAGGGTTCACCAGAGGGTCAGATTTAATTTGTGTGTGTGCCTGTGTGTGTGTGTGTGTGTGTGCGTGTGTGTGTGTGTATGTGTGTATGTGTCACACATAAAGGATTTACAAAGTAGGATTAGAATGGCTAACTGCAGAGTCATGGAGAGAACACAAAAGGGCTATGTTCTCCTTGGAGATGCTGAAGAATTGGCTGAAGGTTACAAGGGCTGTTCATGGGCACTGTGTGAACACTTGTTGCCCTGCTTTGGGAACGCAAGGAAGATTTTCTTGGGTGAGCTCCCAAGGTCAGAGAATGTACATGTTCAAGACATCAGCAACAGTGGTAGTCAGTGTGGAGCAGAGCAGAGAACCACAGTTTTTGTTGTATAATTCTTACAGTTTGTTATCTCATATTTACATTCTTGTATAGTGCTCTAAGCAGTCCATGGTGGCCAGGAAGCAGAGTAGAGGGACAGCGCCAGGGAGGAAGGAGCCACAGACCAGATGGAGTACCTATTGTCATTCCTCTATGGCCCATACAGATGAACTGAGAAGTACACTTTACTAATCTCTTGGACAGCTCTCAAGCCCGTCAAGTTGACAGTGAAGTTAAGCATCACATAGCAGAAGTTTTGTGATGTGAAAATTATAGGAGATTTACAGATGTGCATATATACAGTATTTTGGGTTTTTTCCACCTTTAAATTCTATCCAAAGTCAAAAAATGCTGAAATTTAGGTAATAGAAATAAACTTTCCTTAGGTAAATTTTATAAAATGAACTGAAAAAGACTGAAAAATAAATGAACAAGAGTTAAAAAAGAACAAGGTTCAAAAATAGTCACAGGAAGAGCCAGAAATCTTTACTCTGCTTTGAACAACTACTTGAAAGACACTTAAACAATTTCTGAGTTAAACAAGCAAGACCTGAAATATTCAACTGCACACTGAGTATCTTCCCCTTGGAAATCAGTGCTACAGCTATACAAACACAAGAATGACTACAGCAACTTTATTTTTGAGCTCAAAACTGGAAACACCAAAAAGGGCCTCAGCTGATGGACACATGAGGATCTGTGGTTCATCCACACAATTGGATGTGATGGCTCAGCCACTGACAAGGAGCAGCACTTGGGAACCCTAACATGGTTATGAGGATTGAATAAACTCTACCAGCTCCCCGCAAAACAAAAACAAAAACCTTATGCATCCTGTGTGGTTACAGACCTGTCACCTCTAGAAAATACAAAGTGTTTCCCAGAGACAAAAATCAGACACATTGCTTAGGATGGAAGGAAGCAATTATCAGGAGCCATAAGGAAAATATGAAGGTCACGTATACATCACCACTTCGGTGATGATTTTCAAGGTGCTCATGTATGACAAGATTCCTAGAGGATTTTTTGTTTGTTTTTAGTTTCAGTATTGTTTATTTTTGGTACCAGGAACCAAATTCAGGACACTGTGCTTGCCAGGGAGCACTTTGCCACTGAGCTATATCCCTGGCCCATGTCAAGATTCATCCAATTTTGTATTTAAACCTGTTAGTTTATTGTATGTCAATTATAATGAAATAAAATTGCTTTTAAAACCCTTCTCATCTGAGCTATCCACAAAAGTTTTATTTACTTATAGATTTACTGACAAGAAATTTTGTTTTTTTATAGATTTATTTCTAAGCAGTATTGTTTATTTATAGATTATTTTATATAAAGTCTGTTTATTTATAGATTTATTTAATTTTGCTATGCTGAAGATTGAATCCAGTGCCTTGGTCCTTTTATCATAATTTATTTCCAGACAGGGCCTTGCTAAATTGCTAAGTTGTTTACATTGGGCTGGAATTTTATTACACTTATTAGCATTTTTGTGTACTGAAGTATAACAAAGGTAACTAAATTGAGTAGTCTCAAGTAAATCAATAAATACAGCTTAACAAACAATAGCTGGGTGTGATGGTACATGCGTGTAATCCTGGCACTTCGGAAGCTGAGGCAGGAGGATTGTTACAAGTTCTAGGTCAGCCTAATTTACAGAGTGAATTGAAGGCCAGCCTGAACTACACAGTGAGAGTCTTAAAAAATAAATTAATAAAATAAAATAAGATAAACCCTGGACTAAGGCAAGGAATCATCTTCTAGTCCAGAGCATGGGCATCTTCAGTGGATTTACTTTAGAAGGTGTTATGGTTTGTATCTGGGTGTCCCCATCAAAGCCTCATGAAGTCACAGAGCTGGCTAAACCTAGCATCTGTGATTGGTTCATTGTTTAGTGCTATGATTGGTGATGAAAGTGCTTCACCTTCCTGGGGTTTGAATTAGTGGAGTAAAAGAGGTCTCACCTGTCCATTTTGTGAGAGAAATGAGGAAGTCTTGTAATTTGAAAGGAAATCACTTCCTGTGGCCAACAGGTACAGAAAACATTCAGCCTCCCAAAGTTGATTCACGCAGGCACAAGTCACTGTGATGTGCTGTGTCCCATCCAATGGCACATTTTAAGGCAGGATCTGAACAGAACTGGAGAGAACATGGGGTACAGAGCAGAGTCCCGTCCCACAGCTCCCATCACAGCTATATATGGAGCCATCCTTACACCTCGCAGGACTAAGAAGAGAGGTTTCTCAAACACAGAATGATACACAAATTTTCAAGATTTCTTTTCAAGAGTTTGATTCCCAGTACTGTTTGAAGCAGAAAGGAACTGGGACCCTCCCTAGCCTTTACATAGAGCATGCACAAGAGAGCTGTTTGCAGAATGCCGTGCATGATTATTGGAGGGAACTCTTCCCAGGGCCATAGAGGTGCAGGTCTAGGGGTGAAAAACTCATAGCATAGCAAGGTTTTTCATGGGCTAACCAGTGCGATGGAAGTCTACACTGCAAACCAGTGCTTCCTGACAACAGGGACAACACCGAGCAAGGGCATTTGGATGCCAGAGTGGCCAGTCAGGTGAGGGGCAGTCCTGACTCACACAGCTGAGCAGAGTATCCCTCTGAAGCTGAACCTCCAGCAGGTCCACCTCACTTCATTTTCAGGTCTGTCAGCAAGGACATCACACAGAAGCATGGCAACACAATTGAATTTTGCTCAGACTAAATCATTTAGCTTCCTTTGAAGACATGACTGAAAATGCACAAGTCTGAGAAAAACAAGGCTGAGAACAGCACTCTGCATGTTGTGTAAATAAACTGACCCTTTACAAGTCATGGAAATAATGCCTGTGGGTGAGTCTGTAATGGCAGAAGTGTGAAACCTCATGCATGCAGGTTTCACAATTGCAAAAGAATAACTCCAAATAAATGCTACATGGACATGACTTCCCTTTGGCACTGCACTGTAGCAACCTAGATTTACTGAGCCACCTCAGTAAACCCAAGGCAAAACCCACCAGATGATTCCATCACCCAAATGTGAAGGTTCAGCAGCTCGGCTCCCTGCTTGATGATGCTGCTGGTTGACAATTTCAAGGTGTTTCTATCTGCACAAGCCATCTCTGCCCCTCCCAGCTCATGATTGTTTCAGTGTGGATCAGATTACGTCTTTACATAAAATCCCATCATGATGTCAGGAAGGGTAGCAGTCTGTTGTTTACTGGAAATTACTTTTCAAGTTTGGGTGTAAGAATCCTCAGACCATGTGCTTAGCAAGTTGAGGGGAAATGAGATTGTTTGAAGTAAATGTAGGAAACTCATTTGTCAGTGCCAGATTCAGTTGGTACTGAAGCCCATATGTTATGGGTAAACAGGTATGAGTCAGGGTTTGCTGTACAAAATGCTGGAAGGCACAGCAGTGTCCCCAAGTTCAGTTTCTGCTTTGCTTCCCTCATTCTACCAAGCTTGAGAGTGGATTCTCAGCATTCAAGCACCTAGGGTTTGAACTACAGTAGGAATCTGTAAAAACTTCTGTTAACTGGGTAATGAAAAGACAAGGAAATGTTTTTTGGCAAAACGCAGTTGTAAATATATGCTTACATAAACAAAGAAGCCAGAAAAAAATAACAGCAACAAGAAATGTAATGACAATATTGTGTTTTGTTCCAATGCCACTGCCTCACTCTCAAAGATAGGAGCAAAATTTGCAGTGTAGAAGGGTCACTGAAGACAGTGGTCTTCGTTGTCTTCATCCCCAGAGGTGCAGATTGGGTGCCCTGCCCACTAAGCCAGATGAATTCAGGATAGCACCTGAATCCTGGTGGAGGCTGAGACCAGGACCCAGGAACTGAGGCCCCTGAGGCTGAGTACTCAGAGTTTTTGCTGTGTCCTGGCTGCTCTGCCTTCTCTTGCCTGCAGTGCTGTAGCATGGATGAGGTG